AACTGGATTTCTGTGAAACAACATGCATGAAGACACCTTCTACTGTTTTATGCCCTTACAACCTAATTGCTCAATTCTAATAAGACATTAAAAGTTTTAACATGGAGATACTCCTCTGCCTCATCCTGCTATAATATCCTTATAACATTCCAACATAATACTACTAAAGCTCCTTCCCACACCACCTGTACCTTTGATCAACCCACGAGTTAGTCAAGGGGCAGCACTAATGCCAGAGGAACACAGACACCAGCCAGCCAAGTGGCACACACAGAGCGACGGAGCAAACCACCAAGCATCAGAGGCATCCTGGCCAGCTAGCTCCTGCCTCCTCACTGCTGGGAAAGCCAAAAGCTATGAGCTGCTTCTTGAACCACACCTCTGACTGTCTCTTGGCAGCTGCCGCTATGCCAAAAAGAAAGAACAGCTTCGAGGACAGCATGCAGCCTGTGGGCCATGTGTCGTGCAGGCCTGCTCTGTTATTAGTCAGAGAAGGGGGAAACCGAAAATACATGCTTTGATAAGCTGGAAGCCAATATTGCTAACGTAGTATATGAAAGCACATGCAGATTCAGGGAAGAAAAGACACATGAAACAAAATGGTATTACAGGAAAACGCAAACCAACGAGGACAAAAGACTATTAATCAATAGGAAAGTAGTAAAAACAGAAGAGGCCAATGTGGGGCAATGAAAGGTTGTTTAACAGCAAAGAGGAGTGAAGGTAGGAGGAGTGGAAGGATGAGGCAAAGAGACACTTTTCATAAAGGAAGAAAAAAGAAGAATTAGAGCCATGGCCCCTTCAAAAATCCTGCCTCTTCTAAACTGCACCAAGGATTTTTAGTTTTTTCTCCGCTGCAAACTGAGCATTGCCATTAATTGCACCTTCATCATTAATCTAACCCCAATGAGATATTCTAGAGCTTGTAAAATATTCTTCAACACATACAAATGAAACCTTAAATCAGCAATATCTGTTCTGCAGAAATGTTGACCACCAGTCACCTACATTATTTATGATCAAAGCAGCACATCCCCTCCCCAATTCATCATGATACAATCCACTTTTACTTTCCTTCCTTTTGTTGCTTACTTAACACCGTAACACAGATGATGCACCGCACACAAAAACATGATGATTGCAAAATCTGGATATAGCTTTGCTTGAGGCAATTTGGCTCCATTACATATGTGTTATGATAACCCCAATATACACAATCACATACTCTTTACAACAAACCTCAGTTTTATTTGGTGCACATGACAAATACATTCTGGAGATTAATTAGGAATAGTCAAGAAGACTCATCTATTGAATCCCTGATGACTATATGTTGGAAGGTATCTAATGAATAAAGCATGGACTGCAGAAAGATTATCTCATGGTAAAAGAAAATGAGCATTACCCAGAAGAGACTGACTATATTACTATCATTGCTAGATTAAGGCCAGTTAAGCAACTTGAACTGAGCTTTCTACAAGGGGTCATTAACTTCATCCCTCACTTTCTAGCTGTACAGGTTAGTTTCAAAAGCTCTGGTTGTGGGGGTTGTTTGCTTAATTGCCATCCTTTTTCTTCCCATGCCTCTATAAAATGCAGACTATTTTCTTCTTTCATAAGGAAAGCGTTCCTCAAAGTTGGATGGAATTATGGTAACCCGCACAGAAAAGCACACTGCCAACTAACAGTCTTCACAAGAAGAATGTGAACAGCACGTAGGAGTAAGGCATGGGACCATAAGGTGAACACTTAATTGACTATCAAATGGATGCTCATCATGCATGCACCACACATCTTGTGTCCTGAATAAGTCCCACTTATAATTTTCCCACTGAAAAAATTATACAATGTTATGAGGAATACATCTCAATACATAACCTCAAGGCTCACTGGCAACCTAAACTCAACATTTCTTAACATCTAACTGTATCTTAGTGGTGTTTTTCCAGCAGTGTGTTTATTTGCATGTTTGTGCAATTTCCCAGTTTTAAAAAACAAGATGAAAAAATGTCCTCATATTGCATCACTAATGCATCTATTTGTGAACTGCATAGATCCATCAGAGATGACTAACTTTCTCATAGATGCATCTGATGGTTTCATCTGCAAAAGCAAAACTGAGAGGTTAATGAGATGTTTTACAGAAGACTTCTGATGTTTCACCAGTGGCAGAACACTAACTCTTCAGTATCTTTAGTTTGATTCAAGGACCTGGAAAGCAATAGGCACGTGGATTTGTTCTCTCCACCCTGCTTTGCCCCAACTTTGCATTATGCCAACTTGTTTCTTTGTCCCAATTTCTGCATTTTTCACTTCCACAATTACAGTCCCCGTTCTGTGAGCATCCCACCAACATCTCCTGAGCAAAGGGACTGAAGCCGAGAGTCTTTCCTAGTTCCTTATTCACTTATCTTCAGCTCAGTTTCTCTAAGCCCACAGCATAAGTCTCTTCTCCCTTACACACCCCCCTGCTCCAATTAACACAGATGCAGCTCTCTTTTTCATTAAATACAGCTCCACTTCCATACTGCTTCAGTCTGAAGTGGAAGAAAAGGAAAGAGGGAAACGAAGCAGATCATTTTTTTTCCTGCTTGGAGTTCAGGCAAGGCCTAGATTAGGTCAGAGCTGTAACTGCAAGAATGTACTCAAGCTAGAACATGCCAATGCAGACTACATCTTTGGGAAACTATCTAACATCTAGGAAGTCTCCAGTGGGTCTATATAAACCAGTTTTGCAAAGGTTTAATCAAGTCTCATGTTTTAACCCAGCCAGCAGCTAAAACATCCACAGCCATTCACTCACACCTCCCCCCTCAGTGGGATGTGGGAGAGAATCAAAAAGAAAAAAAAAGTAAAACTTGTGGGTTAAGATAAAGACAGTTTTATGGGACAGAAAAGGAAGAGAATGATAATAATAATAATAATAGAATATACAAAACAAGTCATGCATAGCACAATTTCTCACCACCCAAAGCCGATGCTCAGCTACTTCCTGAGCAGCAATCCCGCCTCCTGGCCAACCCCAGTTATATACGGACCATGACATCATATGGTATGTAATATCCCTTTGGTCAGTTGGGGTCAGCTGCCCTGGCTGTGTCCCCTCCCAGCTTCTTCTTCCCCACTGGTGGAGTGGTGTGAGAAGCAGAAAGGGCCTTGGCTCTGCTCAGCAATAACGAAAACATCCCTGTGTTATCAGCGCTGTTTTCAGTACAAATCCAAAATACAGCCCCATCCCAGCTACTATGAAGAAAACTAACTCAATATGCTGGTTTTGGCTGGGATAAAGTAACAAAATTTGGGCAAATTTTCAGAGAGAGCGCTCAAAAGATATATCCTTGACACAACCACCAATCTATTAGATTTAAAGTCTCTATTATAAACCATAAAGCACTCGTATTATTTAAAGTAAAAGTCACTAAGACTTTTCCCTCATCTTGCTCTCCAAAGGGCTGAATGACATGGAAAACCACATTCCAAGTGGCTAAACTTTGTCAGTATGGACTTAATTTAGAAGCTGACGCAATCAAAACAGACAGTGTTACCTGCTTTACCTATGCAAACAAGAACTTAAATTACACGATTCAAGGAAAAAAAAATATAAAAATGCTTTTTAAACAGTAGTTTAATGCCCGTCAGCACTTTCTCAACACTAATGAAATCCTTCTTCAGAAGTAATTTTCCTTAGCCTCCAATGGGTAAGAGGCACATTGATTTCTTCTCTTTGAGAAAAAAACACCATGCCTTGATTCTAATCTCACAGGCATTAATAAAATACTTAAAAATCCTATGAGCATCCTATGTTAGATGCATGCCCTATTGTCTCTCTAGAAAAAACAGTTATAATTTAAAAATTGTGTTTAGAAAGACACCAGTGTTGCCATAGAATACAGTTTAAGGATACATAACATCATGACTTTGTGCTAAAAGGATAAAATTATATTATCTCAACTATACCAAAATTTGTAACTTCCAGTTTCAATAGCACAGTTCGGGATCAGAGGTTAAAATTTTTCTTTTTAAATCATGCATCACTGTCAGTAATAAACATTTCCACAGTTTTGCAATTCTGTTGAATGAGAAAATCCAGCCTTCTTGAAAACATGCAGAAAAAAAAGAAAAGAAAAAAAGGAACACACCTAATTATTTCCCACCTTTTGCTGAGTTATTTTTCAATCCATTATACAGCCACAATTGAGATCAAAGTAAGCTCATAAGGAGAGTTTCCTTGATACAAAAGAAGAGAGTTGTTGTCAGGACTCAGTGCGAACTGTTTGACTTGTGCTCTCTTTCATTTACGAGAAACTGGTTTGTTAAACCTTTGAGTACAGGGAGAGACCATAAACTGTTATGCTTTTTAAAAGCTGAAAAGAATAAGGGAGTTGTTATAGTACTTCATGTGTTAATTCAATAGATACTCATTTAGGTTTTAAATATGACAGCCTTTTGCTGTAAATTTTGTATACTACCTACACAATAAATTCCACCTCATGGGAGTTCCTATGCCAACATCTACAGCACACTATAAATACAAGAAAACGTTTCTGAAGATTTAAATGTGAATTCAACATCACTGAAGGCCACCAGGAACTGAGTTTATAAATTCTGAAACTTTTGCCTAGTAATTTATAGGTTTGACAGGTCACATTTTGCTTCAGTGACTTTTGATCTTTGAAATGTTTCAAAATCTAATTTTTATATATTTAGTAAAAGGCTATGAAAACAAGCTATGAGCCTAAAAAGAAATCTAGGAAAACAGAATTAAAATATGTGGCAAAGCCCAATACAACAGCTCAGATAAGTGCAATAAAAACAGACTAGTTCTAAAGCAAAGATATTGTTTCCTTTCCATTTGGAAGATTAAAGTGGATATACTGCGTATATCCTAGAAGATGACACATACCAGAAGGCTCCATTTTTCCTGCCTCTTGAACAGTTTTCCCTTCTTGGTGTAATACCAGCCAGAACTAACGAAACACTATACAAGTCACTGCTATTACCTGCATCATGGGATACTTTGTTTCAGCGGGACTTCCAAATCCATTAACTCCAATGAAGCTGGTGCTAAAGTAGGAATCTGTGAGACTAGCATCAGCTAACCCACCGCCATCTATTCCAGGAACTAAAAGAAAAAAAGAAAAGTGTTTCAGAAAAAAAAAAATTAGTTTACCACGGGTTTATTTGCTAATACCTCTTACGTTTTGGTTTTTTTTTTTGGCAGGGGAGGTAGATAGGAAAAGGTTGGTAACACTATTTCAAACCTATCTTCTCAGCAAAAAAACTAAAAACATTTTCGTGTACAGAACAAAACTTTATGAGAGATTGCTACATGACAGCATATGCAGCATGAAGTTACAGCACAAATGCAGAAAGAGGCAGAAAAGTAAAAAGTATTGACAGAAACGATAAGTTTGAATTTTAGAAATAAGAATAACAAGGCAAGTAATGATATCAGAAAGAAAATAAATAAATTTAAAAATCCCAGAAGGCAAGCTTGTTTTAAGAAAACCTATATTCTTGCATACACATCTTGGAAATCTATCTGTCAAGCAGAGATTTTAACTAGATGCACTGGTTCTTTCAAAGGGTAATACACAGAAAATGTACATTTGAAAATATCAAGTCCTTTCACACAAAGCACAAACATTTTAAAAGCTTAAGAGCATGACTATTTTTATTATCTCATACTTCATAAAGTGGCAACAATTTTAGGAAATGTGGCCAAAAAGCTATTTTGGACTGAAAGCAAGTGTGAAGGCTATAAGAAATTAATCCCCTGTCTACAAACAAGGGCCTTGATATATAAGCACAGCACTTCAGCCACAAATAAATTAATTCAATACCATGAGACTACAAAGAACAAGAAATAGTCATAATTAACACCAAACGCTCAAGGGGGTATTACTTCGATAACAAAAAAGGAGTTTACAATGGTATACAAGCTGCAGCTCAAATTAAGCTTCCACAAAAACACCCACAGCAAATTACAGAGACACTAATCAGTATGGCCAGGCCACTGCAAGCCAACACACATGAGTAATTGGTTGCTCCAAGGTAGGAAGGCACACATCCAACTCAGAAGAACATCCTGTACCAAACTATCTGCCTTGAACCCTGGGAGGACTCGCAGCCAGCCGGTGACACCCGGAAACAACTTCCTGATCCAAATCCTCAAAGGAAATAAAATGCAACTTTGTGGCACAGCTAAAGGAACATAGATTATAACCCCTCGAATTTCATCAGAATGGGAATTTTCCCTCCAAAAAAGACTACATAACCTGGTGAGCCATTTCTGTGCTGTAGGCACAGGAAACAAGCAAAAGAAGTACAGCCAGATGAAATCACAGGAAGGGCTGGAAGAGGAGAATGACTACCAGCATCCATACTACAGACAGATGGAAACACTGCCCAGCTGCGCTCCCTGAAACTGGAGCTATATGAACTACCCAACCAGGGGTAACACCAACAGCACCTCAAACGAAGAGCTCTGTGTGAAGAGAGATCAAATAAAGCAAATACTTCAGTTGCAATACAGATCAGCTTTGCAAGCAAAAAGGGTTCTTAAAGTATTGCTGCTAAACCTGTATCATTATTTGTATAGTCTGCAGGCTTGAGGGAGACACCCAAGGAACTTTAAAGATGCTAATTACTAATGAATTGCAACATTAATTAAGTTTTAAAAGTTAGCTAAAGACTAGGAAAATAAAACTCCCTCCACTATCCACGCCCTATATCCTCTTTCATAAGGAGCTGCCACATACAAACGTCACAAATCCTCTTGCTACATCCCTAAAAAAGACAAAACTTTTTTGCTTTCTTTTAAGTGTCTGTCCCTCTTTTGCCTTCGCTTGGGAAATATACATTCAAAAGCCTAGGAAAAATATTTTATGGTTGAACTACTGCATCCAGGAAAAAAATTAATGTCTGTAGTAACATCAATTACTGTCTCATCCCACCTGCTACAGTCAGTCCCTAACTCACACTGTGGAGGTTACCATTTTAACACAATCATTTTTTGGCATCATGAAAAATACAACTCGTTCATATAAGAAAACCAAAGAATAGTAAACTCGTGTTTTATTATAAGTAGTTTCAGTTTACTTTGCCCATAAATTATTCAGGGTTCACACTGTGTTTATTTATTTTAAAAATGCATTTCCAATATAGCTTTCTCTGCCTGCATTTCAGCCATTATCAAAAACTGCTGTGGGTTTTACACTACATCTTGACCGTAAAAGACAAAGAAAAACTGTTTAATTCCAGGAACAACTGTCATTTCAAGGTATGTTATATAATTTCAGCAGTATATCTGCTATTTCATCTTATACTTGTCAGAAACTCCAGATTCTGTCCAATTTTTAACAAACTAGCAAGCAACTCCCTCAGATTACACCTTCAGTATTACAAATCCTTCAGGCTCTGTTGAAGAACTAAGAAACAGCCGATTCTTTCTGCTTCTCCCACTGCTCCTCACTATGCTAGAATCAACATGGGAACCCACGTACCATTATTTCTCCATTGGATATATACAATTAACATACAAAATCCTTAAAACTGGCAACAGGCAAGTGAAAGCTTGCAAGTTTTGCCACATTCAGCAGCAAGGCTGCTGAAGAGCCCCCTCAGTGGGCACAAACCCTAGAGCTGACCTCCGATAACTCCAGAGAGCTGGTACAGCTGCAGTCACCCATTATCCAAACAAAGCACTGGAGCCTCTGCAGGTAGCCTTGCTAGGGCACAAACACAGCACCAGGTGTTCTGAAGCATCCTCAGTGCCGGGCAGCTCAAGCTGCAAGCAGAAGCAGGCTTCGGGCAGCAACCCCAGAGCTGAAGCAAGGCTGACAACGCTGCTGGGAATGACAAAGTTGATCTTTGACACTGCAGCCTTTCCACTGCTGGCATTTGCTACGCAAGCCTATCCAAACCAATTAAAGCTGCTCAAAGCTACAATTTAGGCTTTCTATTAGCACACCGATATCTAACTGGGCACTCCAGACAAAAAGCAAAAGCTACTCCAGAACATTTTCTTTTATCTGACTTTATGAAGACCATCTCTCTACTGAATTGCAACGGTTTGGCTATACCTATCAGCCTCCTTGTCCTGTTACTACAAACTGCTGTACTCCAGTGCTGATCCACCTTCATACCACTCAATTCTACCGGCACCACAGCAATTTCAAGATGGTTTTCATCTATGAGGCTTTCAAGATGGTTTTCATCTATGAGGCTTTCTATTGTCCTCTTCCAAATGGTCTAGAAACACCTCTAGCAGAGGGACCAAGACCACAAGAAAACGTATTCCACAGGAACAATCAAAAGAAAACCATCAGAAGTATGCTCAGTGAAGTAGAGGGCAGTTTTCTTGGCAGTAGTTCATATTTAGAACAGAATGCTCTAGAAGTGGTAAGTATGACTATTGCCTTCAAAAAAAAACCTCAACACTAGCTTCCTTAAAATAACTTCCCTACAGTAACAAGTAAGAAAATTAAGACTAACAGAAAAGATGCAGCTTACATAGGTACAAAGAAAAAAAAAGTAATTCCTGCATTGCCTATATAACGAAAGAAAGAGCGTTCACTACATACTCCATTCTGTTCAAAGAAGGGACATTGAGCTGTTACAGTGATGAAAGCTCAAATACCTAAACAGCCAAGGCAGTTTTACTGTATTTGGCACCTGGCCTACTCCATGAGAAGCAGAAGGCTTTTATCCTCCTTCTGCCAAACATCTGGCAAATCATAAATTCTCACTTGCTTCTGGAAGATCATGGTAGTTCAGAGCAAGAAAAAAAAAAAGTGATTTATCATAAGCAATCCATAGGAGAAGGTCTTCAGAAGTGGGCACACTTCACCACACAAGCAGTGTGGTATTAAAAAAATTAGAAGTCTAAACTGGAACAAGAAGATCTTAGTCTTTATAAAGCTTTTATTCTCATGTGTTTACTAATTTACATCAGACCCTGCATTCAATTTGTCTATCCAGATCTTTCCTATGTAGCAATTGTGGGCACACATTTTCAAACACTCTGCACACAGCACTATTAGAATGACAAATAAAAAACAACTTCTGAGTTTTACATCTTTTCTCTTTTAAAGCATTGATTATAACTTTAGGTAAGAAAGTTTAGACAATTTTAGGAAAGTCCTGAATTGACTATTTTTGTCAAAAGAACATGCCTTTCTGTTGTGTAACAGTACTACCTATGCATTGAAGTTGTATACATTTTTAACAGGCTCTTCCTTGAAGAGAAGCAACAACTTTCTTACAAAAGTAGAAAGGTTGACAGGCAGGTCTGAGAAGAAAAGATGGATGTGTGAGGGAACAACTAGGAATCCAGCGGGGAGAAAAAAAAAACGCTAACACGTTATGTAAGCACATATGTGAAAACAAGAAGAAATTTCTGAATTCCATCAATATTAAAGCCAGAAGTTACATCCTGGCAATTCTGGAAAGAAATTAAATAAAACATCTTGAGACATTCAGAAGATGTTTTCTACTTTTTATACACATATTATCTAATAATTTTTTGCTTGGTGAGTAACACTGCAGCTTAATGTGACAACTGCAATTAAAAATAAATATCTTCTTATATAACTCTTCTCCCACAGAATTTTAGCAGAAAGTAGGCTTCCCGTCAGATGCAAGCACCAAAGAGGAAAAAAAACCAGATAGTTATTTTTGCCTTACTTATTACAAAGACATTTTTCAGGAACAAAGGATCTCATCACAGCTTAAGTGCTTGAGTACTACTGTGATGAACTCAACACACATGCTTCAGCAGAACCAGTGGGTTTCAGTTGGTTTTAGTTTAACGCTCGTCTCGTCTAGTACTAGCACTATCTGAATAGTAATACTAACACCATTGGAAAACATGGCATTTCTGGTATTTTCATTCTGATATTTTACTAACCAGTAAACAAATACTGTAATATCCTACACTGCTTCTTTTATGAACTTAGTATCAGCACTGATCATCTCAGAAACTGTTCTTAATATAAAAAAGGATCCTTTACAGTAATGGGATATATTGCCCCAAAAATGAATGGGCTAAAGTAAGATCATAACAGATTTTTGTTAACATATTTTTCAAAACAACAATTTAAAGATTTCTGGCAAGGCAATAAAACATGGATTGAAATAATTCATTTTGCTATTATTATTGCTTTCAAAAAGTGTACTACTATTATTTTTATCCTGGGGAAAAAGTTTATATACAGAAGTAATCTTGACTTAAACTCTCAGCACTGCAACAGCACAGGCACTTTTCACCTCAACACAGCTTGGTAAACCGAATCATAGGTTCATTGCATACATGTGCATACAAAGGACAAGGAGTTATCTCAGCTAGATATAAAGCAGTAAAAACTACCGTGCCAAATCTCTAGTGGAATTTTACACAGAGATAGCAGTCCTAATACTGAGACAAGAACAACAGAACTTTTATACAAAGCCGATCTATGGCAAGTCATTTAAGACTTGTGTACTTTTAGTCTGCCAGAAGCACGGAGGTGTCAGAGGAGCTTATGCTTGTCCTGCTTTGTTTTGTACTGACATGTTTGTATCAGGAAATAATCACATGCTTGTGGTGCTAACCTCACTCATACACTTCTGTAACAGTTCTCAAGCACTACAGATACTAGTATGTGCATCCCAGTGTTACTTTCTCTACAGTGCTGCTACTGTTGCAACTTGCTAGGGAAAGTGGATTCTCTGGTAGTTTTATGCCTCTCTCATTTAATACAATGTTTTTGAAACACAGACTAGGAATCCCTGAAATAGAGACAACAGACAAAGAAAGTAAACGACACCCCCAGGCATGAGGAGCAAAAGTAGAAGCGGAGAGTGCAGTTGAAGGGCAGACAGCGCAAATGTACCAAGTTGGCTGAAAAGCAGTCAGGAAGCAAAACAGTTTGGGAAATGCTGCCTTATTTACAAACACTCCCACTAGGCGATGAGATATTCATGGGCAAGCAAAGGAAAAAAGCAATCTTTACCATAATATTAAATGACTGGGATATCCTTTTTTTTTGTTTGTTTTTTTAAATTTATCTCACATATCATAGCAGCATCTGATAAAAACTAAAAAAAAAAAAAAAAAAAAAAGGATAGGTGCCATCCTTTTGCTCTGTAAAAATCTCAGTAGAGAGTCTATCTAGAGCAGCAAGACTCCTCATCATGGACCAAGTCCAAAAGCATAGTGATAATACAAATTAAAATTGATACTTTTTCAAAAGAGTCATCAGAACTACTTTGTTATGAGAAACAGCAATTCAAAGTACTGCAATTACTTAATATCACAGCTTTCAGAGCTAACCCTCTCCAAAACCTTTCGCAATCCCTAATATATTGCATCAAATTATTCAATAAACTGCATTAAATTTTTCAAAGCACACGTTTAAGCTTTTGTTTTTAATAGCTTCCCTGTACCTAAAACTAATTTTTTTTTTAATATAAATAGTTGCATGAAATGTGTGTACATAACCTGAACAGAACATTAGGACATTTTTCACAGCAGTGGGGGAGAATGCATAAAAGAAAGGAAAGGTTTTCCTGCCAGTTGCATCAGCATTAGACCAACTGAAGTTGAGGGAGTCTACCCACAGACTACAGGAACTGCAGATCACACAACCAACCTGACAACAACTTGTACAATGCATGTCTCTACTCTCACTTTAGTATATCTGTATCTGTTTCTAAATATTCTCAAATTAAAAAAAAAAGTCAGGAGTAAAAGGCTGTTAGGAAGCAAATTAAAAGATACAAATAAGCTCTAAGATACAAATAGCACAAAATATCTTTGAAGATCAAATGAAACAATCACATAATTGGAACTTTAACTCCTGAAAGACGCATGGAACAAACATACATGCGCATGTACACACACACAGAGCGTGACCTACTCCAACTCATCTCCAATACACAGTGATTCACCATACCATTTTTATGGCGGCGTAATGCATTACATCTTTACTAGAAAGCAACAGATCAGGAAAACATCAGCCACATCAGCTTACTATCTAAATCCCTCCACTGACCCCCTTTTCATCAGCTGCCTCATGACCAAGATATTTTTTTCTGCTTTTCAGGTTCTACAGAAGTGCTTCTGCCTCTGTTTATCACCCCACCCTCACTTACCATTTGTCCATTTTTCCCGCAGCAGTCTAAATTTGCTTCTAGGTGGTTCCTTACACATGGAACTCTTTCTGAGCTGGTCCCCAAGGTCACTATTTTCTGGGCATTCAAATCCTTCCTGAAGGCCCACTCCTACAGTGATACCTACAAAAAATCAGTTATCTAATGCTAGATAAAAGCTAAATGGGGATGCTCTGTATCTTAAAAAACATTATCAAAACTTCAAATTATTAAGATATAGCATATAGAATTTGCTCACAACTGTCCCCCCCCACACACACTCCTTTTTATCTTTGCCTTTGAAGTAGAAAAACAATTACAACAGTAATAATGCTTTCTTTACATTCTTCAATACCCAACACAGGGTGGGTACTACCAGAAACAAATAATTACCAGTACTCCCCAGGTATCTGTAATTCCTGTGGAATATTTGGACTTTGAATGATTTCCCATACAACAAGAAAAACCCAAGTATATAAACAATCAGTTTCAAAGCCAATTAATAGTGTATTTAAGTTTCATATGCTAAAACCACCCCTCAAAATCCCATATAACTTTGCAGATTGAGAAATTTTTCCTTCCCTCCTTTCTTTTTTCTTAGCCTCCCCCAATAATTTTCCTTCCCATTTCAATTCCACATGAAACACATGAAAGCAAAAAGAAAATCCATGCCTATAATTTCCCAATTTCTGGAGCTGACATGTGAGACAAAGTGATTAAGTGAAATCAGTAATTTTCATTTTCTCCCATGCATCTCTAACTGGTTATTGTTTTTACTCTTCAATTCTCAATTGTCTCTAACCATCTCCAAATGTCTCTTCAATTCTCGGAATTGGCTCCCCATTCCTTAAAAATATTCAGAGCAAAACATGAAAATTGTATCATCTATCAAGTCCTGGAAAAGGCATCAGGAAAATCTGAAGGGAAAACACCTCTCAAAAGAAAACTGAGGTATACAACATCACTTGCAAAAAGTGCAAACAGGTTTGGAAAAAGAATTCTCAACCTTTACTATAATACCTATTTTCTGTATACAAGTGAAGAAGAAAGAAACCCAGGGGAAAGGGACCAGTATGTAACATACTGCAACTATACTTCTATTTAAAAGTTTGAGATAACTGTCTGTTTCTAAATACTTCATGCTGTAAATACTGAAATGCTACCAAAGATAAGAAAAATCCACATTTAGAATAATCCTGACCATTGTTTCATTGCATTACAAAGTGTAATCCAACAGATTACCTTTAGTATCTGTTTTGCTGAGTAGCTTATCTTTCCATTTTTTCTATATACCCACTGCTTCATTTTGTTTAAAGAAGAATGGACTGGTAAAGACTTAAACACCTTTTAAAAAGGAGAAAATATACAAGTTTATAGGTCTTTCCACTCTAAGCCTAGCGTATTTATGGATTTCACAAAACCTAAGCTGTAATGCTCACTAAGCTAACCACCAAGCGATTGCATACAGAGTTGCAACAGCAGTGGCTGCTATCCACTGCTGCTATGACCGGCCGGATAACGTGCAGGTGGCAGGCTGAGAAAACAGCCATAATGCTTTTAAGAGGCTAACTTAACTCAACACAACCCAAGCCTTGATGCCCCTTTTCACCTTCTCACCGATGGGGAACAAAGCCTATTCCCAAACAGGCTTTCTCAGCAGCCCTTGAAAAAGACGGAGAGCGAGGCCGCTTAGGGAAGTATCACGGGCAACTCGCAGAAACGCAGGCCTGTATTTCGACTACAGATTTCCTAGGAGGACTTTGAGAAAGGCTTTCTGGTAAAGAACCAGATGCAAAAGCCTCTCGCGGAGGGGGTGAGCTGACCTGGGGCAGCAGCAGCAGCAGCACTGGTGCCGTGGCCAGCTCCTCCGCCGGCGGCTC